ATATAATAATATCTGCATATATATATATATATATATATATATATATATTTACGATTAAGATGATGACCTTTCAATTGAAAATTTTCGCTTACGTGCGTGTCCATGGTGAAGACTTCCAGACTGTGAATGTCCGGCTCGGCTCTCCAGTACTGCGAATATTCCTGCGGTCGATGCTTCCGGACGTTTTTGTGACAGCAATAGCATATGAGCACCACCATCATGATCACACCGCTGATCATGGCGCTAAAAGCGAACCAATATAGACGATGTTTAGACGGTGCTTTTTGTGCTGGGAGGTGCCCGTACGCTCGAAGGGAAAAAGCGTGGCTGTTATAAAGGACGGGTGACTGGTAGAAAAGTAAGCGTGCGATTTTCCCTCCGGAGGGAGCAGAAATTTTTAAACATGACGAAGTATAAAACTGTCACTTTTAACACCTGCTGCAATTTGACGGGTAATCTTTTACAAATGATTGAACAAAAAATTTACATCTTAGAAAAACGAAGTATAAACGTGTCATTTGACGTGTGCTTTGACAGATGTTAATTACAAATAATGTTTTTCTTCATCTCGTATGTTAATTCAAAGAATTTTTTATCGCGCTAAGTAATTTGTTTTTTAAAAACAAACTCGTCTTTGATATACATACGATGCATAATGCATTGTACCAGTGTAATATTATGATAACTACTTAATTAGCATTTATTTGTCATAAATTTTCTTATCTCAGATTGCTAATAAAGCGACTTAAGATAAAAATTCATTACGGAGATAACGGTGCTTTAAGTTTTTATGTATTTTTATATGATTATTTTTCTTTCCAAAAAATTCTATTCTATTTTGTGGAACATTATTAGTGAAATTTGTAAATATATTTTTCAAATTTTTATGATATAAGGAAATATTTTATATCGGTTCATCTTTGATATATAGTCCAATTTATTTATGAAAATTAAAACACGTTGCTATTTATGAATTGTGCCAAATATTTTCATGAAAGCTATCGTAGAATTTTCGTTAAATTTCAAATTCGAGTAACGTTATCTTTATTCAAATCTGTCACGTTATCCAAACCAGTTTTGACGTGTACATTGAATTTCTCATATTGCACGAAACAACAATTGAATCTTTAAGAACAGCGACTACGTAAGCAATTGAGTACTTTTGTTACGTGTTCTTGCAATGGCTGTTTAACATACGGACTACAATCCGTTGGAGGATTAAAGGGACTAGAGCTGTGTGCGAGGGATGAAAACGTGTCTTCTCAAAGAGCTCGGAATTAGCCGTGTTCGCCGTGAGGTATCTTTCACCTATATTTCCGAGCCGTGCTGTGGTATCTGTCTGGCTGAGGCGGTTGCTACTCACCCACCAAGAAGGATGTTAACATTGCCGTGCAGATCCGCGTCGAAGCGGCCGCTTTTGCTGGTGGTCGAGCCGTTATACTCCGGCGGGGCGTTACTTGCATCCCCGTAAGCATTGCTGCCGTTATGATAGCCGTGGGCCCTCTGTACCGCGGCCATCACCGCTATCTTCTGCATTATCCTGTCCTCGTCGCTGTCCCCGCTGTCGATCCTAATCTCTTCTCGATCTTCGCAAATGGCATCGGAACGCGGCTAATTAGCGCCGCTGAGATGAATTATTTTTCTCCCCTTTGCGCCTCTCGGAATCGCGGTTATCGCTCGATCACCTCGTTAGGCTTGGTGGAGAAAGATCGTGGATCAAGATCGACGATAATTGCGCGTTGCACGTGCTACTACCGATCGTTATCGCCCACGAAGACGAAGAGAATTTCGATCATCCGTGCTGCTTCGAGATCGCCGTTGATCGTTTTGAAAAGGAATTTATCGTTTCCGGAGACGCCTCTTGTCGGAAAAGCCTGTCGGATAAATGCCTCTCTCTCCTCCCCCCCCGAGCACGATCGACTTTGCATTACGACCGGTTATGTCGCTCGGGGGGATTCTTCGTATCCGAATTGGACGTTAAATCTGAAAACATTGCCATCGTTTTTATACGCATGATTTTTATCTTTAATTTTCATACCATTTCGTGCATCATATTTTTTTTTGTTTAATTGATCATATGTAACTGCAAGTTTTCTCATCTTGATGCTTGCCGTTATCTAGGCGTAAATGAAATTGGGGAAAGGATAGATAGGATGTAAAGCACGATAATGGTTTTTCTAGCTTACTTTCTTCGAAAGCTGGGAAAATCGATTTTGTACTTGGGGACATAAAATTTAAATTAATCCTCTTCGCGCTCTGAAAAAAAGTGATTTACCGCTATATTATCACACGAAGAAAGATTCGTTTGCAGAAAGATTTAATTTTAACTTTGTGAGAGGAAAATACATTTCATGACAAATATATGGCAGCACACAATCTCTTTCTCGATCTTGAAGATTAGACCGTTTTGTCTTATTCTCTTGTTTGTATTTATTCTGAGTAAATATATATAAATATATATATACAGAGAAAGAGAGAGCCTTATATTATATATATTTTTTATGTTGTACTATCATAATTGGATCAGGATTCGAATAAGCAGAATATTTAATTAGCAGTAAAGAAGCGATAAATTTCAATTCGATTCGAGATGATGTCGACAAATAGTTCTTCGCAATCGATTGTCGTCTGTATTGTCGTCTAGCGGTGAACGCTGACCGTTAAACGGTGATACTTTAGCGTTGCGCTTCCGTTACGGTTGATGAAATCCGATGGATCACATCGCACCGCATCGCATCGCATCGCATCGCATCGCATCGCATCGCATCGCATCGCATCGCATCGCATCGCATTGCACCGCATCGCGTCGCGTCGCATCGCCGATAGTGTGATTTCCACGCGAAACGCCTTTTTACAAAGTCGAGTCGCGCTCACGTCGCGACGCGGTTCGCGCGGAATTCCAACGCTCTAAATTGAATTTCTCATTGTACAATACTCACGTAGAGTCGGGGCTTCGCCACGACTGACTGCTGCTCGGCTTCACGGACTATCGTCGGCGGAGTTTGCTCGCGCGTGAGACGCGCGTGTCATTGTTATTCCAGCAGATCGGATCTCGGCCGATAGCCGTCAGAACTCGTTTCGTACCGTGCTGCGTGCCGTGATCACGATCTGTAAACGAACGATAATGGTGGATTCCTTTTTTGCGAAGCAAGCTTGCAACTAAGCGATTTTCGATAAGTCGAATTTTCCGAGAAAAAAATATTTTTTGATAGCGTATTGTACGTACATATGTTTTTAAATTAATTATCGAAATAATTTATCTTTCTTATCTTTCTCTATTATCGACGTTTACAGATTAAAAAAATAATCGATTACAATTTGTCTAGTCTTAATCATTGCATAAAAACTAATAAGAGTCACTTAGTACTTTTAATGTTAATTGAGTTATTAACTTTGACACGATCTATCATTTCCTGAACAGACACAGAGTTAAGTGTTTACACGAATTTGTGAATAATACTACTGAGCAAACTTCGTAAATTTAAGAGCAAAGACGCACACATAGGACAGTTTCTGCTTAATAAGAACATATATCGAGATTGATATAAAATAATATAAATATATTAATATAAAATAATATCTCTCGATGCTGTTTACATTTGCATTGCTTTTATAATAATGAAGTAAATATGGAATATTCGAAGGCGAATATTCTCAAGTATCCTTCCACTCTCGAGGCGACGATCGATATCAATTTTGAGCTGCTCGGAACGAGTTAGTTAATTTCAAAGATAATCTACTTGGTGTTAATTTATTAGGCTGTGACTAGGAGTCAATATTTTGTGTGAGCATGCGCATGCAAAAAAATTGAAAAGAAAATTTCAAAGGTAAGGAAATTTATTAGGAAATAGATTTTCTAAACAAATGTTTGTTTCGAATTAAGTTAATCTATAATTATTTTATTGTATTACTTGAATATTAATATTTTAATTATTACAACATTATTAAATATAGCATTGGCAACGTATTCTCGTGCATTCTCGTACGCTTTGGAGCTTGTACCTGAATATCGATTCGCCAATATTGTAACGTGAACTTTAAAACTTGCTGATTCCTCGCATGCCGTAAAGCGTGAAACCGCCATAAAGTCGGTAAATGCGCCGATCCTATTTTTTTTCTCTCAGGACAACGCGCGAACTTTCCATATTTTTTTTACGTGTTTGAGAGAAGCGAAATTGCATATCAGGATGGCTGGAAAATTCGTAACCGTTTCCCTATCCCGCCTCGCATTACTCCAATACATTCTTCTCTCTTTTTTTTCTCTTCTTCGTTCCTAGCGGTATCCACATTTTTTTTTCTAGTGGATTAATGAAACTGTAATAATGCATGAAATAAACTTGCATAAAAAGATTTATCGTTTCGCACGTATCTTTTAATAAAGTTCTATTGCGATTTTATTCGCTTGATTAACTTTTACTAAGAATATTACATAAAGATAAATTGTTTATTTACTTTTATCATTTTGCATTGCGACAAGCCGTGCTATATTTTACTTTATTAGTATTTTTTATTAAAATCTCGAATTAATATATAAAACGTTTGACATATTTCGTAAATAAAATAAAATGTAGGAATTGGATCGTTCTTTTTAAATTAATTTCATGCAATTGACATCATAATTATTTGATAACTAAATGTTAAATAAATATTATAAATAACATAAAAATAATAAAATATATAGATTTATAATATATTAGATGCTTAATATTGAATCGAAATTATTTCGACTTCTAATATATTGAAAAACGAAATCTAAAAGATGTGATTAAAATATTTATTATGTTATTAATATTAACTTTATTATTAAAAATTATAATAATTTTTGTCTGATAATAAATATTAAAATTTTATATATTTATTATTATCAGGTTAATAAATTATTATGTTATTAATTGCGTAATTGAAATCAATTTATCAAAAGAAAAGATGCAAAACCCAATTCGTTTCGACGTAGTTCATTTTAGTCAATAATGAATACTGTTGTACGATGACATGCGTCCTTTTATATAACGAACTAATCAATAATGGTTATTAAACTTTATTAAACTTATACCACCGACCATTATAAGATATGAATGATAGTATATTCTGAAATCATGGATAAATCGCTTTGAATTTTATGCAATTTTTGAGTCTAAATTGATATTGAAAGCGCGTAAAACATATATATTGTATATTAGAGAATCGAGATTGCTGTTCGAAACTTTGCCTTTCGAGACTCTACAATGGGAATGTATGTCGCTTGTTGCAGATTCGCGCAAATGAAGGACGTTAGATGAGGAAGTTTGCGAGACTGTCTGAATTGCAGGTAAGTTTATAATGCAAAAGTGTATGAATAATCCGTCAAGTGTAACATGTATTATTTAATTGCCTAGTAGAGCTTTAGTTCAACACGAAAATATAATAAGTACAAAGTAGATTTTATCAATTTTTATTAATTTTTTACTTAAACTAACGTTTTATTTTTGCTTTAATAGTTTATAAAGAAATAAAAGATATGACGATATTGATATTATTATGGTTTTTCGGCTATGCATTATACAATTATTTCCACATCATAAAATTATAATGATAATTATCATTAACATAATTTTTTGATATATACGTTTTGAATACGTTTTTATTTATTTAATCAGACAGAAAATTTCCACTTGATTATGCTGTTTTTGCCCGTAGCGAAATTAATTGACGTTTTATTAAAAGAGTATTCAATGGGTGCAATTAAGTTTAATACTAGCTCAACATTGTCCCACGTATCGACCTAATCAAGTATTATGGCAACCTATCTTCTACCTCATTCGGATCTAGAGTTGCCGACTATCTAGCTGCACATTTAATCTAATCAACCACCCATCCACCTGCTCATGATTATCTCAGGAGGTTACAACGTCACGCGATATACCACCCGATGTTAACTTTATTTAGGTTTATCCATCATATAACATTTCTATTTCCAAATAATTATGATCGTATAGATGTTTCCAAATGATTTTTAGCTATAGATTTTTATCAGGTAAAAATTTTAAATTGGACTCTTTATTTTTGATGAAGAAAAGTTTCACATCTCTAAGAATTAATTTGTCAAAATTATTCTTGATTCTTGATTGCTCATTATTGTTCACCGTTGTATTGTTGAGTCACTATTATTGAATCGGCACGCTTAATATTTTCATCTATATAACTACGACTGTGAAACATTTTCCGCATAGAAGCTGTTTATAACTGAGAAATTTTCCAATTTTCTTCGCTTTTTAATTCATGTCAACGTCATACATACGAATATTTCAATTGGGTTTGCTAATCAACGACCTTGGCTTACATCAGCTATGCTGAGCTGGACAACGTAGGAGGTGATATTCTCACGGCATACTTATACCGTGCTTTGTAGTTGACATGTACGCATCTACTGATTAAATCTTTTTTCACAACTACGTCGATAGTGATGCCATGTCGATTGGCGATGCTGATCGCGATATTCTTCCGATCTACGTATTTAATCTTCCATTGTCATTCCATGACAATGACAGATGGCACAAATTTTGAAACTTTTTATTCTCTTTTCATTGTTTTTTTATTTTAAATTAGTATTATTAATTTTTTGCAAAAAATTCTATACAAATAACTCCAAAAATACATGGAAGAGGCAATAATTGTTGTTCATAGATCGTTATATATGTATATCGTTAAGTATCGTATAATTACGTATCATTAATCGTACGATAAACAGTATGCGAAGATTTCAAATGTTATTGCTTCCCGAGGTATATCGAGATATCTGCCGAGTTCTCGTATTAATCGTGGAGCATTCGTAACGCATCCGTGCTTCTGATCCACTTCTTCAGGCCCCTCTCCAATATATTCTTGTTGCAGACGAACTCTCAACAATTTCTGGAACTCATCTTTGATATAATTTCAACCTTACAACTTTGAAGTGTCGCCTTCAATTCTCCTTGACACTCGACACATGTGCACGACACATATTTTTGTTAGAAAGACCAAGAAGAGATTTTACAAATTTTATTAATTATAGATTAATGTCAGTTATTCAATTTGTATCCACTTTGATACAAAATAAGAATTTACGTTTACATTTCACGATTAAACAAGGGACTTTTGTTTTTAATTATCCCCACATTTTACGGATAACGACGCCGACCACAATGAGTCTTCTATTCCAAATGAAATCTGTCGGGCCGCTTACTCCTTGATGATGACCTAGCGACATTTAGCGTTAGCCGGACTAAAGTCACAACTGCACAAGTCCCGTGTCTCTACTTTCGCAACTTTTCCGAAGGCCGGCTTCGAATTATTCACCAGAATGCTCCTGCGCGTCGACGACTGCTTCGTACTATCGTGTACGACAAGCTCCAATTGCGTCTGCTTCCAATTTCGTCGAATTATTTCGCGCGATATCCTCGCGTTACCGCGACTATTACGATACCCGTACGTGTGTCGATTAATCGTTTTATTCGCGAGCATATCGCGACAGCGATGTCACGACGTGACAGTTGTCGCCGACGCCCTGTCGCATACTTTTGCAACACGTCGTATTACCTGGCGAGATCGATGTCGGCTAAAATATCTAGAACACGTCGGATATTACGTACATAATATCAGCGTTCAGCATCGCCTAAACTTCTCTTTATAGCCGTATTATAGGACACGGTAATTTAGAGAAGAGCCGCATTTGTTAATTAAAATTAAATTTGTTTCTCCCGTATGATGGACACCGCTTGGCATTGATATCGGTATCCAATCTTTAATTACTTTAATCGAATCTAATATTTGTTAAACGTTGCTCGGCTTTCGAGCTTAATCGCTAAACTTACTTTGTTCTGTTTTAGTTTTTAGAATTTTAATTTAGCAAATTAATGAGAGAACCTATGTAAACATTTTATATAGCATGGACTGTCTAATTAATGGCACGTTAATTAATGTTATATTAGGAAATGTTTTAACAGTATAAATGGCACAAGTTTTGCTCAAAGGTTAAATTTGTAGAAATAAAAGATTATAAAATTGCGCTTCTCTTGAAGTGCAGTTTAATAAATTTCTTAAGAACTCACGAAAAGTTCCACGGGAAGGAAGCGTTCGGTACAGAAGGGGTTAAGCGAGGCTGTCGTCGGGCAAGCCATTGATCTTGGCGCAAGAAGTTCGAGCTCTCGGAATTGTCTTTCCGACTTAAGAAGCTTCGTTAATTCGCTCGATTTTATGGCAATTAGACTTCGTTGAGCGCCTCGAAAGCTTCTTCTCAACGTTCAAAGTACTTTTCACATACTATCTATTTATAAGACATATCAAGAGTCCCCGATCTAGATTTAGATCTAGCATGGAGTAAGTCTAGATTTAGATTCTTGCTTATTCGAGAAGTATGTATCTTGGTAGATTCGGAGTCCGTCAGCACTTAAAGTTTTCATTGCCCCCAAGATGCAACGGGGCGAGTAAACGAGGGCTGCGGATAACTGCGGGGAACCACGTGTTCGTGCTGCCTGCAGTTCGCTAATTGGAGTTGTCATATTGCCGCGGTGCTCCAATTAATTTCCGCCATCATTGTAGGTAACGAAAATTATTGTACGCCTAGTTAACCAGGCGTCGTGCATAAATTTTGACGCTATATTTAACTAGCGAAATCAATGGGCGAACTAACTTCGATACGTTGACCGGAATATGGTGGAATTGCTATGCTACCTTGAATACGCGATCAGAAATCCACCAGACTTAGCGGTACCCTCTCCATTCTCGGCATGAAAAATTTAAAAGTCACGAACTTTCCGATTTCCGCGCGCGAGCATAAAATCCATTTCTTTACGCTACTCGCCACGCTGTACAATAATATTCGAGACATAGAGATCAGCCGACTATAATTGGTTCGTCGCTTTTAATTAACACTTTTAATTAAAGCGATTAGTTGAGAGATGGATCAGATTACTTTGATTACCAGATTAATTCAGCACGGGCATTTTCTGAGTTAATTTAAGTCTTTATCATTCAGTCTTATCACATCATACTTGTGCGTTATCGTCGAATCGTTGGCGCTCACTATCTCAAATTTTATGATTTAAAATAGATTTATATTAAATTAACAGAATCATAGTTTTTAATCTTGGAGATGATAATATAAATCATTGTTTATCGTTATCATTATTATAATAGCGGCATATTATTAAAATATCATTTTATTGGACATTTGTCACCAAGCAAAAACAGTAATCTAAAAATTCAACAAAATAAAATTTTTAAATTTCAATATCTAATGTTAACAAAATTATTTGTATATTACAAAAGTGCGTTAAAACGTTTCTTTCACTTCAACGTTCTATCATAGTCTAAATCGGTTTCTAAGATAAACAACAAAATTGAATCTTCGAGTTTCAAGAATCAGATGCAAATGTAATTATTACGATAGCTACGCTATAGGCGGCATGCTATAAAAAAATATTTCCTCCCTTGACGTCGCACCGCGATTATCCCTGCGACGAGCGGAGACCACAAATTTTGTCTCGAATTTTATACAAACGAGATCGCGCTTTGAAATAAACTCATTGGCGAGCTGACATCGAACATTCTGCGTGATTGCGCGTGTATCGACTAAAGGACGCGTCGAAGGCACGTGACATACGTGTATGCCGTATATGGCCTACGTGCTCTATATATAGAGCCGTGGGTGCCTTCACCGACGTGCGCGCCTGGGTGGGTTCGCCTTCGGCCACGCAAAACCATGTCGGCCTTTTTTCCCATTTCTCGTATCGAACGCTCCTCTCGACTCGATGCTCGCGATTCGCGACTCGGCCGAAGTCGATCGTCACGGGATAATGCTCCGGGAACAAACGCTCGCGAAACCCGATGGCCGGAAACGGCTCTAAATGGCATCCTGACTATAACGGTCGCAATTGAGGGCTCGAGATAAATATCGATCCAAGATTGCAAAGCGTAACGCGAAGGTCAAGCGGCAACGTATTCCCTACCGTCGAATTATTATACGCCATTGCGAGTTTTACAATCGAAAAATTCGAGAATGTGCTAACATGAAAACTGGTTTTCTCTATCGAGAAGAAATAAACTCGTATTTTTTCACTTTCCAAGATTTAATTAATGAGAAAAAATTTTCTCCCACGTGCGAATTTGAGTGAGAAAATTCTGTGAATTTTTCTTATTTCCTTCCTACATAAATAATATTATTAATTATTTTCTTGGTTCTATTCTTATCAGAAAATAAAGATTAAAATAAGAATACATTAAGGAAAGTTGGAGTCGTTATGTTTAATAATGTTCAATGATATTCCTTAATGAGTTCAACATTCCGTTTTACGAAATCACTATTCCTGAAAAGAATGCTACATTTTATTTTAGGATTATTAAGGTAATAAATACATAAATATTAGCGCTGAAAATATCGTTCCTTCTGAAGCAATTTAGTGAATGAACCCATTTCTATGAGTTTCTCAATTAAATTGAAGAGAACGGCGCTTAATTGATTTCAAAGTAATATTATTACCGCATTTTCAATTATTATCGCATTTTCTTATTATCCATATTTCTGGAAGGGGAACTCTCTCATTTCATATTTGTTTTAACTTAATGTAATGTAATTTAAGTTAATTACATTGTTATTATATTTTTCGTTTTTCTATATTTAGGTATTGTTTAATTTAATTTTTTCATAATAATATCTCGCAGTATGTCAGCAATTTATCGCTAACTTGTCGAATAATATTATCCGTGATAACGACAGCAAGGAACGATGTTTAAATGATACAGTATCTTCCGATTACTCAGATATAAAGATTAACTCAGCTTGTTATCATTTTATTGCTAACTATCTATTCCAATGATTAAAGTCACCGACAGGTGTTATTGCAAGGCGGAGTAACGGCGTCAGTTGCGTTTTTGCAGTGCTGTTGTTACAATATCGAGCTATCATCTAGCTTAGTAAAGACCAGGCGAAATATAT